TTTGAATGAAAAATATATGAAGTCTTTAAAAAACATATTTATAAAAATTGAAAGAAAATTTTTACTCTTCAGCACAGAAAAAAAAAAATGCTGTATGAGATATATTTTAAATTTATTTTCGAGCCATCCTGCTCTTTTATTTTTTTCTTGTTTCAGTACAAGCCAGAATTTGATTGTAACCATTTAATTTTAAGTTTTATTTATGGCCATGCGTTCAGATTGAAATGTGTCAGATTCAAGATACGTGATTTTGTGCAAATTTTACAAATTGCTATAAAAATATGGTACTTTCAATTAGGATCTATAGTTTGTCTATGTAAAGAACTTCCCAAGTCATTTGTCTGGAGTGGTGGTGGTTACTATGGTTACAAGGTTTAATTATTTCAAGTAGGGCATTATTTAAGACAGGTTTTGACTCAGATAGACAAACTATAAATACACCTTTACAATTATTTTACCTTGCTCATGCTGGTCCCAAACATGGCATTTTTTAATCTGTGTTGTCAAAAAAAAAGAAGCTTGTGCATACCTGTTATTAAACATTTAAGTTTTTAATGTAAACACTCCCAGAAAAAAAAAATGCAACAGAATCTTACTTAATTTCAAATATTAATTAAGGGTGAAACACTTTAAAAGTGGATTTTTTGATAATGAAATCTAGTGCTTTCTGTCAAAGAATTCATTATAGATATATCTAAGTTTTATCAACTTCAGAGAAGATATTCATAAATAACTTAGTGAAAATTGTAAATTTAGTACTAAATTAGACTGATTACTGGGATCGTAGAATCTTGTACCATTTATTTTGAAGATATGATAATACTAAGAAAAATTTATAACGGCCAGGTAACATTTTCCATTAAAACAGACAGTAATATCTGGTAACAGACTATTACTGATTCTTATCTCTTACTTTAAGTTATCATAAATTCTATCAATTTAGTCAAATATCATTCGATTCCATAAATGGATAAATCATGGAGAGCATGATAAGAACTTTTTTTTGTTGATATAATGGTTAATCAACACCTACATGAATGTAAATAAAGAAATTAATAGACTTCTTCATAATACACAGAAAATAAAATATATTAAAAAAGAATATGTTATAGTAGAATGCATCTAATAACTATATAATAGTTATTAAAAGATTAAAAATTAAACCTTGACAATTGAAACATTGTTCATACCGTTATTGAGCTAAAATATTTTTAAAATATCTTATGTTTAACAGAAGATAAATTAATAAATGCTATTGAAAATTGCAGTAAATCAAATGAAAAATTTATTAATAATGAAGTCCACAATTAGGTCTACAATTAGACACAATTCTAGTCCACAATTAGATGTCTCCATGTCATAACAAAGATTTAGATCAATAATTCTTCAGCTAGAATTGTTTTCGAGAATTGTTTTTTTTTAAGATTTAGTTTAAATAAATCTTAAAAAAAAAACTTTTTTTTTTAAACAATTACACATTAGATTTCCTTAGACAGGGTAAGTAGATAAATCTGATCTGTCAACAAAAAATAAGCACCCTTTAAGTACTTTTAAAGCACTCAGAAAATATTTTTTAGTACTATAAGCACTATATATATTAACAAGATGTAAAATAATTTCCAAAGACTTTACATGATCATGATAAAATAAATAATTTCTGACAAAGAACTCTTTTCTTGATTATGCTAGCAGAGTTGCGCATGAGAGAGCTAGAATCTCACAAAACCCAGCTCAGTAGACGCACATGCATACTCGCAAGTATTTAATTAAACATGCAAAATGATTGGCGATTTCATAAAAAATTGTGAAAACGTTGAAAGAACAAAGTGAAAAGCGCACTTCTGTACACACGTTATATGTGGTGAAAATCGACAAGGTAAAGAAAAAAATCCCATTTTGGAAAATCAAGCACTTTTTAAAAGCACCCAATGAAAAAAGCACCTTTGAGGGCTTTTAAAAAACGAAAATAATCACCTTTAAGCACTTTTTAAAAATGCTACGCACTATGCTTAGAATTATATTTTGAAAAATAGTGGTTTGAAAGAAAATTATTTTTATGTTGTTTTGCATAAATAAATACTCGTTCTGCATAATACATAAATCGGCTGGATAACAAATAAAATTTTTGCTGGGTATCCAGATCCAGCAAAATTTTAGAACCTGGTACATCTCTAGTTTAAATATAAGCTTTTTTCGAACAGATAATATAATTCATTAAAAAACTATTTTCTGTTGAATACTTAAGTACAAAATGCTTATTCTGAATACACACTAAATTACTTAACTTTATATTTATATATAGACAATATTTGTACCCCAAATCTAAAAAGCAACAATACATATTATTTATTATTAATTTCAAACCAAACTAAATAAATCTTAAGCGCCAATCACAAGCATGAAAACTGACGGCGTCCTCTACAAAGACGATACTCTTTCCTCAATCGTCTTCATTATCATTTCACTCATATTCTTTAATGATATTCAACAAATATTAAATTTGATTTTACCTGCATTATGATTATGCCTATACATTTAATGAATATATTTATTTACATATATACATAAATAATGTCTCTTTGATCACACTAAGAAAACCATATGGATTTATGATGAAATTGGTGGAAAATTGAATTTATGTTGAAAATCGAAAGTTGATTATTCACATTTGAGCTATTTAAAAATTATTTAGAAATCCATGGGTATCATTGTCAAAAAAGTTCAAACACGTAACCTCATGATGAAAATGGAATGCTTGCATTAAAAAGTTAATATTCAATGTTGCAATTTGAAATTCACCTGTGATAATATTAAATTAAATGCATTGGGACCATATAAAAATCAGTAACAGTAATTTCTAAATAACTGTATGGATTTATGATGAAATCGTTGCAAAAATCAATAGGTAATTACTCAGATGCGTAATTGGAATTTACTTAGACATATCAAAATCTTTCTATAAATATCAGTATTTTTTAAAAATCATGTAGAAATACAAGGATATAACTGTTGAAAAAGCAATAATAAAAAAACAATGGGAATCCTTGACAAAATTGATGCAAATCGTAAGTGCGAGTAAAATGTTACTATTTAAATACACAATTCTAAATTCAGTTGCCGGAATAATATAATAAAAGTTTTTATAAATTAAAAAAAAAAAAAAAGTAGAAATCTGTAAAAACAATTTCTGAAAAATCACATGGATTTATGATGAAATTGGTGCAAAATCAAGACTGATTTTAATCCTTATGAAATTATATAATAATTAAAAAATAAATTTTATCTTTGAAATAATGAGTCATAATTTTTTAACGAAAATTGGAGTCGTACGATTATAGTGAAGAGGTAAGTTTGCTATCAGTACCTGTTCATGCAAGCTGAAACAATTGAGGTGCTAAATGAAATTGCTTGGCTGTTTAGCTTGGAATAAATGAAAGAAAAATAATCACAAAGTCTTGGCAACTTCCAGGCAGCGGCCCTCAAGAAACTAAAAAACATCACAGAAAAGGACCAATGCGAAAGTTGTACCTTGTACCCATCCCAGGATAAACATCCACATTAAAAAAAATTGCAAGTTTAAAAATCTATTTGGCACCTTGCTGATTGTAGTTGGCATGACAGACCATGATACGGAAATATCCCAGTCTCCAGGATGCTCGTAAGCTTTGTCTTTTAAGCTTGATCCATTTTATGATTTTTTTTTTAGTTTCTTACCTGCCTAGTTAAAATATAAGATTGATTTTTATGATATTAATTATATTACTTATGACTGAAATTAATGTCAAACAGATAAACAGGATGCATAGCTAAGTTATTCAACAAAAAATAAGCACCTTTTAAGCACTCAAAAATTATTTTTAAGTATTTTAAAAAAATATCATAATTAGGCAGAGTAGGAAAGTTTTTGACAATTGACAGTTTTATTTTGCTTCAACCGTCATGTCAAAAAAAAAAAAAAAAAACTTTTTGGCATTGTTTTTGACAATTGTCAAAAATCATGAAATTTTGAATCATGTAAAACATGGTGTTTTCATACCCTACGTACTGATCAGAGCTCATTCTAGGCAGAAAAAAGGGCAGGGTGCAAAAGTTTAAAAAAAGGGCATTATTATTCTAAAAAGGCAATAATTTCTTTCCACAGGCTTTACACGTTCTGTTAAAAAACATTGTCAATTGGTAAAAGAATTTTTTTTTTTTACTTTATTAAAAGTAGCAAAGCAATCATATTAATTACTAATTTTCATTAATAAATTAACATATGTATTGAGTTAATGAGCTAATTAGCTTGGTAATTTATCTAAAATGCATGCATATATTAATAAAATAATAAATGTATATTTTTAAGTGTCTGTAGTTATGATTTAATGATAGTGGAAGTAACTGCAAACTTTCAAAGACAAGTGCAACATGGGGGTGTGTTGGCTATTTTTCCTTTCTCATATAAATCTATGTATTGACAGCAATGATAAACTAAATAAAAAGAGTTAAAAATAAAAGTTTGACAAATCCACTGTAGAGTTTGGGGAAAAAATAAAGGGTTGAGGAAAGAAAGGGCAAAAAGGGTATGGAGTCTTATTACATCAGGACACTAATTTACTTCAGGGGCAACAGGGTGGATTCTTCTGACTAAAAGGGCAGCAGGGTGCTGCGCCCTGTTTACCCTGCCTAGAATGAGCTCTGGTACTGACAATACACTGAAATAGATTGGGATTGAATTAATTGTGAAAACCTTGAAGAGAACAATGTGAACTGTGTCTTTTTGCATAATTTATATCGAAAATCCATATGGTAAAATCTCATTTTAAAAAAGGGAAAATTAAGCACTTTTTAAAAACATCCAATTGAAAAAAAGCACCTTTAAGGGCTTTTAAAAAACTAAAATAAGCATGTTTAAGCACTTCTTAAAATTGCTACGCACCCAGGATAACTTATATTCTTTTCAATCATGCAAATGAAAAAAAGCATTACACATTACACCCCATGTTTGGTATCCAACTCACTTGCAAGTAGAAATTTATCATCATCAGATAACATGCCTTTTACATTAAAGTCCTCCAATTCTATGTCACTTTCCAATTCAACTGAAGTTTCTTGTGGTAAACAATTATCCTCAATGTCAGGACAATGAAGCATGGCATGACCTTCAGTACTACAAGCAGGGCAATATTTAATAATGTGAAATGTATGAGGCATGTAAACTACACTTCCTGGAACAGACACCCCTATCTCGTGACCTGGCAACATAAAACTTATTTCACGATTCCCACTCAAAACATGAGAGAACTTGGAAGAGTTAGGCAGTACATGATGCGCTTTTACGTCATAAACATTTCCAAAGGGTCGAAATATGTCTATAAGATCTTCATTCGTTAAATCAGGATATACATTTCTGACAACATAATAGTCTAAGAGAGGTAAAATGTCAATTTTGCACTGACTGTAAGAAAGTCTTTTACCAACCAAAGTACAAACAGAGTCTATGTCATTCAAGAAAACTACATAGAACTTTTGATATGAATCAAAGTGTAAATAACTTATAGATGATGGTGGCACATAAAGTTCTAAAAATTCCAGTACCTCTTCATTGGAACATATAACATTGTCAATGCCCAGTAATTTAAGAGGAAATTGCTTTTTAAGAGGAGTTGATAAGCTCATGATTCCGATGAATTATGATCTCCACAAAATAATGGTAAATTCAAACTCACTATTATCGTCTTCAGCTGTCGGTAAGTTTAAATGAACATTCATTGAAACATAAACATGAGTATGAGGTTCACGCATTCATTACTACATGCAGGACAATATTAATAACATGGTAGATAAACCACACTGTCGGGGACAGACCATCTGATTGAAAGGCATAAGCTGAAACATAACTACACTTATATACAATTTTTCATAAGTATGAGGTTCACGCACTCTTTACTACACGCAGGACAATAATTGTAACATGAAATTCATAAGGCAGATAAACAACACATTGATGCACAGACCCTCTGATTAAAGTTTATTTCGATAAGTAAAAAAATAAAATAAACAGTGAACATTGCACAGAAGCAAAACAATGTGCTATTTTCTTATTACTTTACACATTTTCCTATTCCCTGGACTATAGTCAGGTATTGCTAATTCTTGGCTACGTATGCTAAGTGGCCATGACCAACATAGCCCAAAAGTAAACTTGAAACGTTGGGTAGAAGTAGTAGTAATCGATATAAGGTGCGGCTTTCAAGAGGGCGCTGACAATCGCACCTAGCCTTAGGCTAAGATCTAGTTCAGCTTTTCCCAGAAAGAAGAAGCTATTCTTTCTTTCAGCGGTTTCTGAAACTGCGGTGCTGTAATTTTATTGTTTAGTTAATAAATCTTCCTTTTATATTAAAAAAAAAACAACAACATATATCTTACTCTCTCAAAACTATTTACATTCTAAACCATCACGATGGCAACCAAAAAACTCTTCTCTTTGCCATCTATAAACTGATATATAATGAATAAATTATTTAACAAAAAATACGATGCGCATAAGCACATAATATTTTACATCCTCCCACCTAAGGTAACTATTCGCGATCGCAACGCTCGAGTACGCCGTCTAGCGGGAGCCTGTAAATATCGGACATTAATTTATCACGTTTTCATTTAGTTCCATCAAAGTCATTGACTGAATCAGACGCCATTTTTTAGCAGCAAATAAGAAACAAAATTTCCCTAAGGAAAAGGCCGAAGAACTTGAAAAAAATCTCCAGAATATTAGTAAATCTTTCAGGAACAGAACACGCCAAACATTTGAAGAAAAATTCCT